TAATATAATCGAATCCACTGTCAAAAATATTACTTGTGTGCTGAAACATTTTATGATTAAAAAAAAAACATAATAATAACAATAGTACCCATACTCTCTATAGTAACTTGTTGATCATGTCAAAGCATGCATTATATTTTATATTTATATTTCAATTGGTTGTTTACTATATTATATTAATTTATTATTTCAAGTTAAATGTTAATAACGATAAAAATTATAACCTGCTTATATTATATTTATATGTATACGTAGATATAGTTAATACTTTTAAGTTTTTAGAGATATCAACTGATAATTTAGTTATGCACCATTAGTTTATCTTATATTCTCATCTTATTCGTCCATTTTATTGCTTCAAATAGCTATATTGTAATTTATAAACTCTCACATTACAATCTTTTTAAACAATTAATATAACATTTTTACACAAATATATATAATACCTATTATGTTGTTTTTTTTTTTACTCATTCTGTAAAAATATAAGCCAAGTTTAATAGCTCTCGTGGCTTAAATTATTAGTATTATTGATAAATGTGTTTGGGGTACATATTTGTAGAAATCTATTTCAACAGTTTTATTATACACAATGTTTGAAAAAAAGCGATGATTAAGGTAATTTAGTGACTAAACCACTTTTTGGCGATGGTGACGTTTTAAAGTAATGAACGGTTTGTTTATMATTTTTGAATTTCGGTTTTCAAAGACTGTAGTAAAATACCAATTAAATTATACCAATTACAAAACTGTATAACACACTCTCTATTCGATATATTGCTTCTGATGAAGAAATAGAGCACTATATAATTTTATTTAGTGTCAACTGCACAGCCAGCACTACAATTTAAAGTAGGTAAAACATTAAAAACTATTCCGTAAAAAACAAATTACATATTTTAGAGACGTCGTTGGACTATTATTGGACGTCGGGCAAAACTAAAACAACTTTACAAATTGATACAATGTAAAGTTCAAAAGTTCATGTAAAATTGTAAAATAAGTGTATAGAAATAAGCAACCAGAAATATGAAAAGTGTCTAACAAACCTGTTTACCCATCATAGATTAAGAAATATCACGCTAACAATTTTCCCGGATTTTACCTTGTATTGTCTTAACTATCGTCTTCTTCTTTCGCTATCAAAATGTTTAAAATAAAGTAACCATTTAAATGAATTAGTTTTTATGTAATGTTTTATGGTTAAGCTAATTATTTCAACGATTCGTTGTACTTTTTATTTTAAATTTATATATTGGTTGCTTCATGGTTTAGTTTGTGTTTGACAATGTTCTAATAATTCTGTTTTTAATTGTGCTATTTTAGTAGAGTATAATACTGTACAATATTGTATCGGTTTTAAATTGTTATAAGGTGTTTTAATTTTGTATTATTAAAAATCAATGTTTGATGTTATATTTCATAATTATATTATTTTTAGTTAATGTATTATTATTATTTAAATTGTAATTWAAAAATTTCGTAAACGTTTTTACTGAATATTTAATTAACGACAAACATTTTCGAAATATTGCGAATACTACTACTATAAGTATAACACTTTCTACTACCAAGCACGTATCCAGGATCATTTTTCGGGGGGGTTAAAATATTTTAAGTCCGTCTTCCGACAAGATTGCGATAACATATTATAAATATATAACTACTTTAAAAATTTCGGGGGGGGAGGTTTGAACCCCTAAATCCCCCCCTGTATACGGGCCTGTCTACTACTACCACATTATTTAGACTACATTACTATAGTACATGTTTAAGTCCTTAAATATGCGATCATATGCATTGAACTCAAGAAAAAAACAGTACGAATATTATCTTAAAACAATTGATATTTTATTAGATACGTGAGATATAAAAATATATGCACTTACACATTTTGTTATCAGGTATTTTATTTTTTGATCATTAAGAAATTACATGACATAATCATCTATTTTTTCATTATGTAAAACGATAAAGTTCATTTTAAATAGTAAGAACAATTTGTTGTTTAACGAATGAGTTATTTGAACCTCGTGTCGGATGTTTTTGATAGTGGAATATCCATTTTTTAATCCAATTCTTGTATAATTTTCTGGCTTTAATGACACTTTCTGGGTCCTTGGCGTTGGAGGCCCTCAGGTCCAAATGATGCGCAGATTCTGGTATTACCACAGCGATCACTGTCTTCGATATGTCTTGCAACACTCCACCACTTGACCATGGATCCAATAATCCATTACTATAATTATTATGAATATTTAATTAAGTACACAAATCTCTTAATACAATAAAGAGTTTTAACTCATAAAAGCGATGTAGTGAAATTCAGAGATCATTATCCAYTAATGAATAGTTAGTTATGGACTGATATTTTATAGTCATTATTGTTCTTTTCAATTCTATTCAAACAAAATAATAATAAAACTTTTAAGTTTCAAGAATATTCCAAACTAAAATAAAACTTTCTATTCCAATATACTTTTCAGTTTTCGGTTTGTGTAATAAAAAACCCATTAAACCATACAACTTATAGTTATACCTGAATATTATGTTGGAAGCAGCGTTTAAATTTTTACCGCCATATGTTTTCTCGATTGTATAAATACTAGGCTGGACMCCAAAAGTCTCATAACAATATCTAGCATTTTCTTCAAAATTCCAAGGCTTTTTTTCGAATATATCTTTAATTCCATTAGAGCACATTGGCATAACCATTTCTGTGCAGCTCTAAATTGTAGATCATTTAAATTAAATTTATTTTCACAAAATATGTGTAAATTTATAATATATATTACTTGATAGTTCCATCCCTTTTCACCAAGCGTGGGAGCAGAAGAGGACAAAATATCTAAACATTGAGATGTACCGGTATAGTTAAAGTATACACTCAACCCTCTGAAGACTGATCCCAAAAGAGTAAATTCATCTTCTTTATGGTTTTTCATTGGTTTACATACTTCCTGTGACATACATAAGAACACGTAATAGTTAATATACCTATTAATTATTAAAAAATTATACATTACAATATTACCTTAACGGGATTTCCAGGTAATGGTGTTAAAAARTTTGCAGGATATGGATAATTGATCATGGCCAAGTTCACATAAAGTTCAGATACCCACTGTTTCAAAGTTGAGACATCGCCGTCGTTTGTCAACGGTGAGCACAAGTTCCATTTTTGAGACAGCCACGTCTTACCATCGACTGTCATTAGAAATTCGTTAAATGAAATACAACGTATAACATTCAATATTATTTCATAAAATTTACACATAAACACGTCACAAATCAGATTAATTAATAAAATTACAATATACAATATTTTACGGCGAACTCTATATTTTATATAACAATATATAAAATAATATGCATTACCCGTTTTTGTAACGTTATCAATGGCTTTCCAAGACGCTAATATCGTCAAACCACATTCGACACTCGTATCTGTGTATACCGAAGACGTGACCCTGTAGAAAGCATTACACGGCGTCATACCAGTAAACTGCCATATCGGTGCAGACGACGCTATAGCACTACAAAAACATAAAAAAGTAAGTAACACGACACGACTGCACAATTTCCACAATAATACATATTATTGTATATTTTGATTGCTATTTTTTTATGTATAATAACTTTCAAATCGGTTTCTAGTTGTTATTTATTTACAAACTTTTTAAAAAACACGATAAAATTATCTTCAACTTCTAGACTATCAGAACTAAAAAAAAAAAACTAATCAAATAAATCAAGTTTAAAATTAAACTCATATCTCACTATGGCATTAATTATGTCACCAATTTGTATTGAGAAAAAATCCTAAGTATAGTTAGTTTTCTATAGACAATATTGTTTATAAAAGAAAATATTAAAATAATTTTCCAGTAATTTTTATAAAAAGTTTTCGAGGACTTTCGGAAAGATTTCTGTGTATGCAGTTATGTTATTCTAAACATTTTTATTTTTTGAAATCCTGTAAATAATGATCGCAAGGTTCCMAACAGAAATATCTACTCAAAATATGAGTTCTCAAAAACATTTTATATGGTTGTGTCAAGTTCCTAAATTTTTGCATATCGTATAGTATTTGAATACAAGTTTGATATTCTCATATTTTAGTTGGGTTCCGGTGATCAAAGCCATAACACGACAACTGTATGCAGAAGAGTACAAGTTATTCCATGACTATTAGACATAACCACCAACCCTTCGATGATGGCGGGATACTTGATACGGAACCAGGCGGCCAACATGCCACCGTACGATCCACCAAAAGCGATCACCGGGTTGGCAGCGGACGGTGCAGGAGTGCCGTCGACGCCGGTGTCGTAGATGTCGCCGGTCTGGTACAGCTCTGCACGGTCCGTGTACGACCCGTTGTGCCGCAAGTACGTGATCAGGTCCACATAGTCGGCGAGCGCCTGTTGCGAGGTCAAATAGCCCACCCGACTGATGTCGTCGAARGATTTATTACCGTAAGGCATTGAAACGCCGTAGTAGCGGTGCTCGGCGAACACGATCAGGGCCCGGAACTCTTCGGCTATCTCCCACATAAAACCCTGCGAAACCGTATTGCCAAGTGCGTATGATATAGGTATGTTGYACTAAATTTCATGAGTAAATAGTATTATGTACGTTCAACATAAACAAAATCGCATTTTGAATAATACCTATGATTAAAACTTTCAAACTGTTTGGTCGTGGAAACGTGCAGTATAATATTCTTTATCCGTTGATTAGTTTTTTTTTTTTTTATTGATTATCTTAAACACAAATTAAACTCTTTACATCTTACCGTATTTTCACAAAACATTTCAATAGCTCCTTCGTTGCCGGCATAAAAAAATATAGGTCCGTTTTCTCGTTCCCAATACGTGTCATTTATGAGGTACTTCATACGGAATGTGTCGTTATTTGTAAAACTAAAATGRTCGACCTGTTAGAACAGTTTTTTAAAAAATGTCAATTTATAAAGAGTCGCAAGTCACTAAAATAAATCGCAACGTTATGTTTTTATAAAATGTTTTCTTCAAAATGAAACATAACGCTGTTGAATCCGAAAAACCTTTTGCTGTTTTATATGCATATGCTTTTCTAATTTTCTATTTACAAGGCATACATATTTCTAAAGTAGTATAATTATTATGTTATTTATTTTACTATAATAAATAACATTCACGCTATGCCATTAAATTAATACAATATCAATTATTTGTATTTAATCAATTTTCACGCTGAAATAAATGTCCCAAAAACAAAATCAAAATATAAAACTTTATTTAAAAATAAATATCTATATCATCAAATCTCGATTAAGTATTAATTATTATATTTTAGCATCGTTAATTAGAAACAATAGAAGGTTTTTGGCAAATATTTAAACTTAAATTATTCATTCGAGATAATGAAGAAAGTCAAAMATTTAAGGTTATTTATTATATATTGTAATGTTAAACCGTGTAAATCACATCACCTTGATTAATACACAATGACACTATGTCATATTGTCATATACTTATACACTAGGTCATTCTAAACATTTTTTTTTTAAAGACAAAGTCTTGGTAAACTGGAATTTAAATTATTGTTTATCAGTGATTTTAGAATAGTAAATCACTGTTCACAAAAGTCGGACACAATTAGAGTACTTAGATCAGTTTTAACAATGATCTATATTTTATYCTATAAGAAACATTGAATATATTTAAGCTAYCTATTTATTTGATTTGAWTCGATTTGATTTAGAAACCTACTTAAGAATTGCTCATTCGAAGTAMTACATTTTTTAGATGCCATGCCACTCATTTTCACCACTAATTATTTCTCTTAATATTTTATTTTATATTTGACCGTTAAACTTTAAAACAAATGCAGTGCAAATTTGTCAACTAAAATAACAAATACACAATAGATACGGCAGATTAATGGTTTTCATTTATGACAATATTATGAAAAAAAATTATGGTATTTTAGGAGATTGTTTTCATGAGTAGAGTTATAGTAATTATAAATTACTTTTCACGAGTACTTTACTGTTACTCAAACACATAAATATATAAGACTTACAAAAAATAGTTTCTTTTATCTTTTTTTTAAAAATATTATATTATATTATTTTACTACACAAACTATGTACAGAGTGTACTAATATGGTTTTCCACCACACTGCATTGACTGCACCAGGGCATATTTTTATGTTCCATCRGCAAGATTAATGTGCACTGAGTGGTCTTTTTTATGTTTCAACTCAATACACTACGTCAATTTTTTGCACCCAGTGCAATGATAAGTACCACAATACCCATTAAATATTTTAGTATCTTTATAGGTATATCAGTGATAAGTATAGGTTTTATATTTTAGGTTTACACTTGCACCAGCCTGCACTAGGACGATCATCAGTGAACTGTACCAGTGCCACCTTGGTGCAATAGTGCGGTATGGTAAAAACGCTATAAGACGTATATTAATATTTAAACCCAAACGCAAAAATAATTTCGACTTTGTGTTGTTTTCTGGTCCGTTAATGTTTGATAAAATAACCTARCCTAACCGATATCGATTTTATCTATTCCTACAGTTGGTCACCAATTACAGAATAATAAACGACGTATATTCACTTACCGGTACTGTAAAATAGTCGGTTTTATACACGTACCCTCCATTAGCCAAGTGCAAAGCTATCGCCAAAAATGATAAGCACGCCGTAAACGTCATCCCGAACTGCTTCTGATTTATATAAAATTATGACGTAAGTGACACGAACTTATTTTCCGTGCTGATTTCGATTATTTAAAAACACACTACTCTTGTGTACGAAATACTATTAGTCCGTTTCGGGACGAACACATCACAGGTCTAGTAAGTAGTAACGGGAATGTTGCACAATAATATTATACCCATTCCGATTAAACTCAATTAATAATAATAATAATCGTATACAGACGAACACTGTACGCAATAGAATATTGTAATAAATAATAATAAGATAACATTATATCCGACACAGCCACAATATGCGATGAGTACCAACACAAAAACCGTTCGCATCGCAAGTAGTTCGTAGTTTGTACTTTGATACAACAACGCATACAAATGCGAATATTTACACAATGTGTATTATCATTGTTTCATTATTGTACCTATATTTTAACTTGTTGCATTATTACTTCCAAACAAACTGTTGAGTACGAAACATTATAATTTGTTACCCACCTAGTAGCCGGCAGGTCAGTGTGAGTCGAATTGCATCTAGAGAAAGGGTAATCGATACTCCTATCCGCGATTATTGTTGAGCTCACTGTCCATAAATGTAATCAATGTT